CTCGTTTTCGCCCATTACCCTACTCGACCGCTTGTAAAACGTAATCAAACTTACTGAACCGCAATCGTACGGGACGTGGTGATGGCTCTTTATTGTCGCAATAGCGAGTGCTACTGATCGCTGCGCGGTTCTGTGACTGTACTGCACTGTAGTACTGTACATACTTGATGTGTGCCCCGTAGGGGAAGGGGGGGGACAGGCAGACAGCACCGACAGAGTCTCTCAAACCGCACCGCTGACAGCGAGTGTACAGAAGTGATGCGTCAGATAATGACGAGATGGACGGAAAACGGTTACCCAACACAGCATCTTCTTCGCAGACTTCGATGTTCCGAGATGTTATGAGTAATAACTGAGAGTGCGTGGAATAATAATGAGTACAAGAATGGGAGCCTAGCATTATATAGAGAGAACTCTAGCTAGGCGACGAGCCTGGAGGGCTAGGTTGGGTACAGGAACTACCATTCCTTACTGGGGCTCGTGTTAAAGTAGCTAGCTAGGAAGGGGCGCCATGAAATGACGAGAGGTTTTAGATGCTACGAAAGTTGAGAGATGAAAGAGTGTTGGAATAGAAGAGAGGGAGGCATACAAGGAGGGAGTTGTACCCTCTGCAGTAGAGTTCAATAACAACTACCAAGCCTATCAATTATATATAACGACGGGATTACTGGAGCTTAGTTAAGGGCTAGCGGCGTTCGGGCTGCTACTTGCTCAGCTATGTCGCCCTAATATCACTATCCCCACCAGGTAGCAGTGTCGACTTATTAATCGACGACTCTTGGCTGAATAAGGGGGTGAACTTGCAAACTATACTGTGCTGATGGAGTGTCCACGAAAATTCAGAAGTTACTGTTGCAGTGGAGCAGAGGGTTTCACCTAGTGTAGCGAAAGAAGTTTCTGATTTTGCGGGTGTAGTTCGACGAGTCTCCGACGAAGGAGGGAGCTGTCCAGCGGACAGTAGGCGAGCTCATTAAAGCTCCTTTGATTAGAAGCGTGCGCACTCCTATCTCTGCAAATTCTCTTAGTTAAGCAGCAGCGATTTAGGTTTGGGGTAACATGCAGCAGCCGCGAGATGGGTGAACGTCTACACGGTCTGCTGGTCAGGGGTACCGGGGAATTTATGGGGTTAGGTAACAGCTGGGTGAAGATCGATAACGTATGATGCGCGGTGACCTTGATCAACGGCCAAAACATCATGCCGAGGTGGTGGACTCCGGTGTTCCCTGAAATAAAGGGTTTAGTTCATGCGTGCAGCTGGTGGAGCAACAGTGAGGGCACTGCTAAACGACGTCACGTCTTTCGAGGGTTGTATTACGGGTAGCTGTGAAGCAGTGTTGCAGTCTTGGTTAAGTACCAATGAAGTTCCGACATTTTCGCTGGAGCAGTTCATGGAATTATAGCTGGAGTAGTACTCGCTATCATCTGGGGTATGAGCAACATCGACAGAAATTTGCGGAGTATTTTGGGTACGTGGAAAGGAGGGAGAGCAGTAGCTGTTTCGGTTCTTCCCAAATATTTCGGCGTGTACGGACAAAGAAGCTAATGTAGTTAACATCATTTGACCCTGAGTTTGTCTCGAGGTTATTCATTGAAGCAGTTTAGTGTAGGTAACGTTCCATCGTCAGCATCGTCAACATCTTGCCAACACTCGCTTACGCCTCCACCGTCACTTCGCCTACATTCGATCGATTGTGTGAACACGACCCCGACTGCAATCGCCACCCGTCAAGAACAGTATCGAATCAACGAGATTTTGCAACTGAGAGCGTCAGTACCGGCTGGAGCTGTGTTGGGACCAGTTTGCTAGCAAAGTTCCTACTCGTGCAGAATTTTCAGTTCATGTGGGAGTATTTTGGAGCACTTGTTGTTGAATTGACAGGACCTTGAAGTTGTTTTCCCTGGAGAAGAATTTCAACTTTGGAGCAGTTTGGGAGTTTTAGCCATCGCATATTCGAAGCTGGGTTATGGGATTTATAAGCAGGAGAATGGGTATCTCGAGTGCCCTGGAGCGTTGGGTTTCTTGACGTTTTACCCTAGCTACTGGGAGCTGTCTCTTCTTGGAGTGGGGGAGAAGGGCAGCTGCGTTGCAGATTTCGTCCAACCCTTCCGACGTGTTCCATCATTCATCTTCAAGCAATATTTGTCAATGTTATGCTTCCGCGCCTAATTTCGTCACTTCGTTGATGCAGTTTGTTGACTTTTTGTGGGACACAGACGCGTGATCTCGCATGTGATACGAACGATGTCGCATGTTGATGAATGTCTCTTTGCCATCCGACTACCACGTCATTCGGCAGTCATCATTATCATCTTGCAATGCGTCATCATTACCCGCCCATGCGACACTTAACTATTCATCAGCATTGGTCATCGTCATCATCTCGTCACTTGGGAGTTTTCGCCATTGCCCGTTCGGTTAACTGAAGAATTCGACATCTTCGACGGCTGCGATTAAAAGAGATTGTTTCGACGCTTTCTGACCCTCGATTGCATTTCGTCCTGAAGACCTCGTCAGGCCCACGTAATCATTACGCTCGTCACAGGGCTGAAGAATTACAGTCACATCGGGGATTACTTTTAATAACTGTTCGGCCTTGATAAAGGGAGTGCTTTCTTTATCACGTTCCCCTCATTGAATACTGTGTTCTTCTCAGAGTTATTATTTATAACAGAGATGACCTAAAAAGGCTTATCCGACACAGCATCTTCTGCGTAGACTTAGACGTCCAACATGTTATGAATAATAACTGAGAGTGCGCGGAATAATAATGACGAGTACAAGAATTGTGAGAGTACGACCCCGTTACACCACTTGTCCCTTTTCTTATTTCCTTCCTCTTTCATTTCTCTTTTTATCTCATCTCATTTGGTTTCCTATTCTCCATTTTCCATTAACCTTTGGTTTATCCTGCTATTATTCTTATATCACCGACCAGGCTTGGGATGTACTGGTGCGCTATCTGGCGTAATCCTGCCGTAATCCCTTAAAGCCAATAGCCTCGCGTGGCTATACGCAGGGTGATTCTATCTTCTAGAAGGTCTATTCCCTTAGGATAAGATAAACCTGGTTACCTGATGTACTTTGGAAGCATAAAAACACCTTGTACTGATCGATAGTGCAAGCTTTCCTCGACACATTCGATCCTGTGACACTTGGTAATCAGAGCTTTTCTCACTCGGCCGCGCTCAGCTAAGCAGCAGCAGCAGCAGCGGGGATCCTGCCTCGAAAAACCGCCGTGGGCGACCAATTCGACGCCGATTCTGGTAAGCACCAGCTCCGCGATTTTCGAATTACCCCCTCCGCGCGTGTTTTGAACAGGATGGCAACCCTCGACAACGGCGAGGTTACCCAGCAGCACTTCGCGCGCATCGCAGCCCTTCAGGAGGAGATGCGAGCGGATCGCGAAGCATGGCGAAACGAGTTCGAGCGAGTAACTCGACTCGCCGGAGCGCAGCACGACTCGACAACGGCGACAACGCAGCAGTCGCAACAGTTTCTCGAGGCTCCGAAACCGCGCCCACCTGAGCCGTTCGATCCGAGCGATCTAAACTCCGACGTCCGCAGATGGATTGCCGGCATGGAGTTCTACTTCGCAGCCGTCGGATGGAGCTCGCCAGCCTGGGACGGTCAACGCGTACGACTCGCGGCGACACTGATGCGAGGGCCGGCACTCGAGTGGATTGGCGGTAACAGTACCTTCATCCACGGTGAAGCCACGTGGCAGCAGTTCCGCGCCGACCTGCTGAAACGATTCGAGCCGATAAATTCGAGTTTCCTTGCCCGGGAAATAATTCATCGCCATCGACAGTTCGGGAGTATAGCACAGTACACGCAGCAGATGGAAGAATTTTATAACCGCATTCCCGACCTGACCGAAGGGGAAAAAGTACAGTCATACCTCGCCGGGCTGAAGACTGAAGTCAAACGACAAGTGGCAGCGTCAAACTACGCGAGCTACAGTGACGTCGTTTCGGCAGCGGAGCGCTTCGACATGGTCAACACAGGAACACGACGGACGCACGTCGGCAGTACGCGACAGGGCGACCGCTCGGCTCACCCCACGTTCGCCGACCCGATGGAAGTCGACAGGTTCGAAGGGCGGCCACATCCGAAAAACACCAACTTCACGTGTGATTTTTGTGGGGTGACGGGTCATCGAATCTTCGACTGCAACAAAATGAAAGCCGCACGCGCAGAGTATCGGGCACGCAATAGTGGCGGAAATCCTTCGGCCAATCAGAATGCAAAAAAGGGGACTCGCCAGTAATTGCGGATCTAGCTGGCAAAAAAGAAAAGATCCGAAAGCGGCCGCAGACTTCCGGAAAAATCAACTTCGACGCAGCTGATTCAACGCGAACAGGAGAAAATGATGGAGAAAAATCTCCACCCCACGACCAGTCTTTCCCAGAGGAAATCGCTGAGAAAAAATCTAACTCCGCGAAAAAAGGAGTCTGCCGAGACACGGAAACTCCTTGAAGACCCAAGAAATTATAAGATTCGTTAAAGTTATCTTACAAAGATGCTTTAATGAAAGCCTATGATTTTCGAGGAGCTAGAGCCTTGGAGAAATTTCGGGAGGGACTCCAAAAGAAGCAGACAGCTGTGGAGATTATACCGGTACCGGAGAACTTGGGGACCAAATTAAGGAGTGTGGAAAGAAGCCAACCTTTCCACGGAATCAACGTCCTCTCCCGACACCAGCCCACAACGACCACCCGTACCCCGGGGAAGACGTCGGTGGAGCTGAGGCAGCTCAAGAGGAAGCTGGGGGTCTACAAGAAGCTGCACAAACCCCGAACTCCTCCTAGGGATGCATCCAGTTCTTCGGCATCAATGACGCGCACAGTCGTCAAGGAAACTCCGGGCCCTGGAGAAGAGCCGTTCTCCAAGCAGCCTCGGCCAGCTGCCAGCTCAGGAGTAAATAACACCACAAAGGTGTGTACGGAATATTGGGACGTACCCGATGACCCAATCAATGAGACTATCTTTGGGTACTCCGAGCAATGACTGCCTCTCGTGCTCGAGGTCATCTGCAAAGGACGACGCCTCCAAGCACTCGTGGACAGCGGAGCATCACACACCGTCTGCAACAAGCAGTAATCGACCGACTTCGGGAAGAGTACAAGCCATCAGGATTCTCTGCAACCTTGATGAACGGTAGCAAGTTACCAGTGTACGGCGAAGCAGTGCTACACCTACAAATCGGGCAACTGCGCTGGAGACCTGCACTCCCCATCACCAACATCAAAGGGCTTGACTTGATCTTCGGGCGAGACTTCCTGAAAAGATTCAACCCCGAGATCAACTGGGTGAACCGCACCGCAAGCATCTACAACAATGACGGAGAGTACAGCTACCCAACTGGGACGATACAAGAGATATCCCAGTGGAGACACTCGCCAGATTCGAGAAGGATGTGAAGCGAACCGACACCGGGTTCCTGGCGATAGCAACAAAGGTTGAGAACGACAGAGAGAAGACCTCGGAACCTCCGGGAAACATCAAGAAATTAGTGAAGAAGTTCCAAGACATTCTTCTGGACGATCTTCCAAACGAGCTACCGCCATACCGAACGCATCAACACGAGATCGTGGAGGAACTGGGTTCGAAGCTGATCTTCCGAGCACCATATCGGCTCAGCCCTACTGAGCTGACCGACATGAAAAAACAGATCGAGTATCTGCTAGCCAAAGGACTCATCCGACCATCCATTTCGCCATACGGTGCCCAAGTACTCTTCACACCGAAACCGGACGGAAGCCTGCGCATGTGCATCGACTACCGAGCTCTTAACAAGCAAACATCAAGAATAAATATCCGATACCGCGAATTGATGACCTGCTTGACCAGCTTCGGGGAGCTACGGTATTTTCCAACAGGATCTGCAGTCCGGATACTGGCAGATACGGATGGCGGACAACTCTATCCATTAAAATGCTTTCCGAACTCGGTACGGATCGTACGAGTATTTGGTAATGCCGTTCGGACTCACCAACGCACCGGCAACGTTTCAAGCCGAGATGAACCACATTCTACGACCACTTTGGACGAGTGCGTAGTGGTGTACCTGGACGAAATCTTCAACTACTCGTGCGACATGAAGCAGCACGTCGAACACCTGCGACGCGTCTTAGAAATTCTTCGACGAGAACGGTTCTACGTCAAACTGTCCAAGAGCGAATTCGCCTTGAGAAGGTCCAGTTCCTAGGACACATGGTGAGCGCTCAAGGAGTTCACGTCGACCCCAAGAAAATCGAAGCCGTACGTACGTGGGAAGACACCCGAGAACGTGAAGGAGTTGCAGCAGTTCCTAGGCTTCGCTAATTATTACAACAGGTTCGTGCCACAGTATGCGAAATCCGCAGCACCACTCATGAATCTGCTGAAGAAAAACACGCCCTACAAATGGGAATCGAAAGCACCAAGAAGCCGTGGAGCAGCTGAAACAAGCACTCACGACCGCCCCAGTACTCATCTTGCTAGATCCCGAACGCGACTACGTAATCGAAGCTGACGCCAGCGACCAGGCAGTGGGAGCAGTCTTGATGCAAGACCAGGGGAATGGACTGCAACCAATCGCCTACCTCAGCAAGAAACTACATGGAGCAGAACTAAACTACCCGATACACGACAAAGAGGCCCTTGCCATCGTCATCGCCTTCCAAAGCGTGGAGATGTTATCTCGAAGGACGACGAACAACCGTCTACACCGACCATTGCAGCCTGAAATACTTGAAGACACAACCCAACCTTTCCAGGCGGCAAGTCCGGTGGATCGACTTCCTCGAGACACACTTCCACTACGACATCGTGTACAAGCCCGGCCACAAAAACAAAGCAGACGCTCTTAGCCGGCCTGCGCACGTTGCCGCTATTCAGATTGAAGGGATGAATCCACTCCTCAAGGGACTCTTCACACACGGGTACCGCCATCGACGCAAAAATCCCTTGGCGGAAAAAAGCGACATTTGCTACAATGGGACAGTGACATCGCGTACCGGAAAGGATCAACAAAAAATCTGGGTACCCAATTACCCTCCTTTGCGCCAGTTACTACTAGAAGAATTCACGACGTCCTATAACGCGGGACACTTCGGTAGCACAAGACGCTCACCGGTATCGCCAAACACTACTACTGGCCCCACATGGCAGATGACGTACAGAAATTCGTCACCTCGTGTGATACGTGTCAGCGGATGAAGAGTAGCAAGCAGAAAAGGCGGGACTACTGCAGCCTCTTCCCTGTCCCAGAACAACCATGGCAGTGGTTAGCCTGGACTTCATCACTGGGTTACCACTACACCAGTGGTCATGACGCAATTCTTGTCGTCATCGACAAGTTCTCCAAAATGGACACTTCATCCAACACACACGACGGCACGCACCGAGGAGACAGCACAACTCTTCGTTCGTCACATCATCTCCCAGCATGGCATCCCAACCACACTCATCTCCGACCGAGACCCCAAGTTCACCAGCAAGTTCTGGAAGGAACGTATGTCTCTTCTCGGAACCAAACTCGCCATGTCATCCGCTTACCATCCGCAGACAGACGGACAGACCGAGCGCCTCAACCAAATTGTGGAGCAACTCCTCCGAGCAGCCTGTAAGGACGAGATCTCCAAATGGGACCTGCACCTGCCCGTTCTAGAGTTGCTTACAACAACGTACACATGCCGCTACTGGACAGACGCCGTTCTTCCTCTGCTACGGACGCCACCCACTCACACCACAGAAACCGACACATCCGCTACAGTCCAACCTGCACATGATTTCATCACAACCATGCATCAGCTTTGGGATCGGACCCACAAGCGCCTCCTCGACATTCAACAGCAACAAAAGCGCCAGGCCGATCGCCATCGCAACGACCACACCATCACGGTGGGAGACCAGGTGCTTCTTGACACCCGCAACCTGGACATCAGCCACCTCCCATCTAAACTTCGACCTCGCTTCTGCGGGCCTTTTCTCGTTGAAGCACAGGTCACTCCTGTTACCTTCCGCTTACGCCTGCCAGCTACCTGGAAGATTCACAACGCCTTCCATGTCCAACTTCTGAAGCCCTATCGGGATCCGAACACGATCTTCGTCGGACGCCAACCGCCGCCGCCGCCACCCGTCCTCGTCCAGAATGAACCCGAGTACGAGGTCGAGTCCGTGCTTGCACACCGCCGACGTCGGAATGGCACCGTGGAGCTTCTCATCCGTTGGAAGGGTTATGATCCTTCTGAGGACAGCTGGGTACCTGAGTCCGACATGGGTAACGCCCGTCGTCCTCTGCATGACTACCTTGTCAAGCAGGGTGTTACTTCTACCACCCAGCTTTGAGGGGGGAAGTGTGAGAGTACGACCCCGTTACACCACTTGCCTTTTCTTTTCCTTCCTCTTTCATTTCTCTTTTTATCTCATCTCATTTGGTTTCCTATTCTCCATTTCCATTAACCTTTGGTTTATCCTGCTATTATAATTATATCACCGACCAGGCTTGGGATGTATTGGTGCGCTATCTAGCGTAATCCTGCCGTAATCCCTTAAAGCCAATAGCCTCGCGTGGCTATACGCAGGGTGATTCTATCTTCTAGAAGGGTCTATTCCCTTAGGATAAGATAAACCTGGTTACCTGATGTACTTTGGAAGTATAAAAACACCTTGTACTGATCGATAGTGCAACCTTTCCTCGACACATTCGATCCTGTAACAAGAATGGTAGCCTAGCATTATATAGCGATAACTCTAGCTAGGCGACTTGCCCGGAGGGCTAGGTTGGGTATAGGCGCGGTCGAAAGGGCCGGAGGCGGCGCGAGCCAGTCTCGGGGTCGCATCGGAATTGGACCGAGCTTGGTCTACCGAGGGTTTGGGTGTACGCGATTGCAGACAATCTGGTAAGGAATAAAATTCCTTACACTACCCCCCTCTTAAGGAAGGTGGTCAATGTCGGGAATGCCTTTTCGGGTCAAATAAGATTTGAGCACCGAGTGTTCCTGAAGCGAGTCGGAAGGGACCCACGTGTCGTCTTCGCTTGTACGTGCGGCCCAGCGGACAAGAAAGTCCACGTGGCGTCCTGTGGTGTCGAGGCGGACGCGGTGACTCAAAAGTCGAAACAGCTCAAGGGTCGGTTTGGCCATCGAGCGAACACTCGAGACGGCCACGGGTCGTACGACTGCGGACGAGCTGGCGATGTAGGGGCGAAGGAGGCGAACGTGGAATGCGTCGTAAATGCGCCACTCGTCCGGGAGTAATAATTTTGCCGTGACAGGTGTCACCATTTTGAGGATGCGGAAAGGCCCACAGAATCTTGGGCGGAGTTTGGATAACAGGGGCAGGCGGAGACTCTTCGTGTCAAGAAGGACTAGTTGCCCAGCGGCCATCGTAATATTTCGGCGATAAAGGTCGGTGTAGCATCGGGCTGTCGTGTTGGACTAGTGAATAAATTCAATCGCTTTCTCCAGGGCGGTCTGTAGGTCTTTAACAAACTACTGGGATCGGGGCACGAGATTGTCAAGGTTAGATGTCGTGGGTATGGTGGGATCCATCCCGTAGTTGAGGAAGAACGGCGAGTGATTAGTCATTGCAGTTCGGGCGTTGTTGTAGGATTTTTTTTAGCATGGGCAGGAATTCTTCCCACCGGGCAGGATCGGGGCAGTTGGTGCATATCACCTGCTCCATGGTCTGATGGGTACGCTCGGTCTGGCCGTCGGTTTGTGGGTGGTAGGCAGACGAGAATTGTAGGCGGGTGCCGTACTGTTCCTATGTCTCTTGCCAGAACATGGACGTGAACTTGGGGTCGCAGTCGCTGATGATCTCCGATGGTAGGCCGTGCAGACGAACAACGGTGGAGATGAAGAGCTTGGTTGTTTCTTCGGCTGTGATTGTTGTACGACAGGGTACGCAATGCGCCATCTTCGTCAGGCGTTTGACGAGGACGAGGATGGCATCGTTGCCACTTGCGTCGGCCAGGAGTCCCGTGACAAAATCCATCGTCACGTGTTGCCCCGACTTCCGGGGTGGCTCGAGCGGTTGCAGCAGTCCAGCTGGCCGCTGTTGAGAGGACTTCATGCGCTAGCAGGTTGGACACGCCGATACGTATCTCTGCACATCAGACGCCGAATCTGGCCAATAATAAAAACGGTGGAGTAATTTTTGGGTTTTATCAACCCCGAAATGAACGGAGAGGTTAGAATCATGGACTTCTTGAATGAGTAATTCGCGGAGGATTCGGTTAGTGGAAACCCAAATGCGGTTTGTACCAACTTTTAGGAAATAAGTTCGCTTGGCCATGGTGGCTTGCTAGTGGAGGTTGCGGGTGAAAAAGGGGTCGGTATTGTATCCGTGGGTAAATAATCCGGTGAGTAGTGGGTTGGATTTTGCAATGATGACGTAGGCGACGTGGGCGGATGGTCGTGTCAGTGCATCGGCGATGTTATTCGCCCCCCGTTTGTATGTAATTGTGTAGTGGAAGTTGCTCTCCAGAAAATCCTGCAATCTGTCGTGGGTTGAGTGTTGGCTGCGTACGGAGGTACTGTAGGGATTTATGGTCTGTCCGTACTGTCACGTCGGCTCCCGTCAAGTAGCAGCGCCATACTTTGAACGCGTGCACTATGGCGAGCATTTCTTTATCATGGACGGGGTGGTTGCGCTCGGTTGCCTGCAACTTCCGGGACTCGTACGCGATTGGTTGGAGTCCGTCGCCGAAATCCTGTAACATTACCGCGCCAATGGCAAAATCGCTAGCGTCCATCAAGACTTCGAACAATCGAGATGGATCAGCGATTCGGAGGACCGGGGGCGACATCAGAAAATTTCTGAGTTTGTCAAAAACAGCCTGCTGTCTCTCCCCGCACTCAAACGGTGTGCCTTTCCCAAGCACGTCGGTTAAAGGTCCGGTTGTCCCCGCCATATTGGGGATAAATCGTCGGATGTAATTAACGAACCCGAGAAAACTCAGCAGCTCTTGTAAATTCATGGGCGGATTCCAGTCGCGGATGGTGGTGATCTTCTTCGGGTCGATTTTAGTGCTGTCCGCTCCAACGACGTGTCCCAAAAATTCCAGTTTGGATTTTAGGAACTCGCACTTAGAGCCCTTGGTGATGAGCCGATTCTACTGCAACCGTTGAAAAACAGTGTCGAGGTCCTTGAGGTGCTGTTCCTCGGGTCTTGTTGAAGATCAGAATGTCATCCTGATAGACGATAACACACTTGTCGAGTAGGCCGCGGAACACGTCATTCATGGTCAGTTAGAATGTACTGTAGAGGGCGCATTCGTGAGCACGGCTGAAAATAATAGGGTAATCACCGTGTCTTGACTAAAAATCTTGGGTGATTTTCAGCGTGACCCGTATTTAGGTGGGTTTTTTTTCCGCGAGCCTGGATTCACACAGGGGACATTTCGTTGGGCTTATTATCGTCCGGAGCGATTCCAGGGCAACCCGGACCCTATGGGGAATTTTGCGAGGGCCCCGTAACCTATACACAGCCCCCCCCCCCCCCTTCTCCCCTCCCCCCCCCCACAAAAAAATTCGCCCTCCCTCCCACTCACCCCTCCCGCCGAAATTTCGCCCCGCCTGCCAAATCTCTCTATCTTCCTCCCCCGAGAGTCCCATCCCAAATCTCGCCCCACCTCCCTCTGAATGGTGCACGCACACAACCATCCCCTTCCACGAATGACGCGGCATCATATACTGATATTTTCCACGGTTGTCTGCCTGTCAGCCAGCCAGCCTTCCAAAGAGAGGAAGACACTTGGCCGATGTTGATGCTGTACCAGCAGCCAAACCTCTCCTCCAACCGACTACTGTAACGATCCGCCCCACCCAACCTAACCAACTCATCCCCTAGCAGAAAACCCTTTGTGAAGCTCACTGGCACAAATCGGACTCAGGTTTTGCAAGCAAACCAACCGACGACTAAGTGACTACAGGTAGCTAGCTATTCTAGCCTAGTTGATCTTAGCACGACCATGGATGACCTCGACCTAACCCTAGGTCAAGAAAAGCTAACTGCTGTAATAGGGGCAGGGGGTAATGCACCTATCCGTCAATCTTAACGATTCCATCGAAATCGATAGCGATGAGGAGCCAAAACCAATTTCAGGGCAAGATGAGCAGTGTAGGGGTGAAATCAGTCACCGTATGACTCTACCCCGCTGGTAGTTCAGACGGCCGGCCGATCCACCGACGTCCCTCGGATCCGAATGTCACTACGATTCAAAATTCATCCTACGGCTCCGATGCTACAAGCCATCGTGACCATAAGCAGCTGCATTTGAGCTTTGCCCCACCCATATCCCAAAGGAAGCGCAAGGCTACCAAATCAGCACGGGAAACCTCGCCTGTTGATCCTGTTGGTGGAACCTCTCCAAGCGGCATAGAGGGGACGACTGCTGCCAAACCAGTAGGGAATGTTCCACAGCAGAGGAAGCTGCAACTACGACCAATCTGGTGGGAGATTCCCCAGCTGCTCCTCCGGTAGTCTCAGCAGAGGAGCGTAAGCTCAAGAGCCGATTCAATCCAAAATGGATTTCGGAATTCCATTGGCTGCGTCTGGAGCTGGATAGAACACTCGCGAAATACGGCATGAAGTGTAATGTCTGCGAGAAGTGGGCCGCAGATCGACAAAACACGCCATTTGGATGGCCGGGCTTAGGGGCACGAGACATTCAGCGGTCGTGCGTC